CCCCCCCCCCCCCCCCCCCCCCAGCTTCTGATCTGTTTTCAGATTCTAAAATGTTTAAACAGTTAGGGGTTAAAATAGTCCATTTGAATTATGGGGAAATTAGTCTAATCATGTTAAAACAAATGCTTTCTCCTTCTTTTTCCTCTACCCTCTCTAGTCCCCCTCCTCCTTTGTCTCTGTCTCTGACTCTTTCTGCTCTTTTGGCATTCATTGCTGTAATTCCCTAATGCTAGTAGCATAGTAGCCTGGGAGTTGTCATTAGTGGTTTTCTTTGGAGATTTCAGAACCTCAACAAGATTAGGTTAGAAGGATAAAAATCAAGCTTGTTTTAAAGAGGTAGTGCCTTCGAGTTGAAAGAAAATCTCTAGTAATTTAATAACACCTCTGAAAGTGCAAGGGCTAAAGACCCATTATGGGATCATTTATTTTGTGGGGGGGGCATGCATGTGCATGTGTTGTGTGTGTGTGTGTGTGTGTGTGTGTGTGTGTGTGCGCAAACTAAGTATATGGGTCTGGTTTCAATCAGTGAAAAAACTTGCATATCCCTTCACTCTAAGTCTCTCTAGCTTTGCATCATTTCATATTCTCTTTGTTTCCTTCAGTCTTCCTTCAGGCACAATTAAAAAATGAAGCTCCTTTGTAAATACTGTTGGTGCAATAAAATGATCCTAGGCAGGTATTGGGTTTGTTCAGGCTAGCTTCATCAGTAATGTATTTTAGAGGATAGCAGGTGGCAAGAAAAAAAAGTTCTCTTTAAGCATTCAGTCCTGACTCAACATCTTCTAATCCAGGAAATATGTAACCCTCCCTTTCACCCATTTTTGCTGAACAGATGCTTCTTACTCTAGGTCTCAGTACTGAGACCTTTACTGCTAACTTACCTCTAGGAACCTCTGAAATCCATGTGATCTGTGTCGCATCAGAAGTTCCAGTACTGCATGTACTGGAAGTGGGTGTTCAGAAACTTGTTCATAGTGACTCAGGGGACTAGTATAAAAGAGGAAACTATTATATTTTGAACATCTTTTATATTTAAGATGCTTTGTAAAGCCTCGTATCTATATAAAATTACAGAAAGTAAGCACAAAAGGTTGACATTCAGAATAGATGTTTCTTATTATACCAAATACAACCCTTTTAAAGAAATATGGGTAAGGTTATCAGAAACAATAGAAAACAACTATATTCTTACTGGTATTTGAAAGGCTGTATCATGCCTACGTGAGTTTAATTTGGTTCGCTTGTGTATATGATGCAAGGGGCTTGCACAATCAAACTTAATTTTGGAATTTCCTAAAACCCAAGTCCTTGACATTGCATCCTCCATTTTTTAAAGTAGTCTTTATTTCTGGGTGCAAAAATGTCTGTAGCATCCATTTTATTAGTATTTTGTAGAGATATGATATACTTCATTTTTGCCAGAATACAGGTTAAGAGACCTCCTGAATGAGCAGCCTCTGGAGTAATAATTTTCTTTGTCCCGCTTCTCTCCCCATCCTCCTTTCCAGCTTACTATTAGACAAGCTGGCTTTTCAGAGTTATCAAATAAAAGTTTGTGCTGGAATTTTAATTAGCTTCAGTTATAATATTTCTATTGTGAACTGCATGCTGTACCTTTAAGAAGTAGCCTGATGGAAGAAGACCCACATTCTCTCTGTATCTGAATATGTGGGTGTTAAAGGAGAGTGAAGAGAGTTCAGATGTGAATGTTGTCCAGTTGCTGTTATCCAGGCCCATTATTACTGAGTAACAGAAGTGCATGTGTGTGTACAACAAGTTGTACAAATCCAGGGTGTCTAATAATATTTTTGAACTGTCACTTTATTTCACTAAATTGAAATAAATGTATCAGTAGTCTAAAGATGTGTGTATGTGCATGTATATGTGTATGTGTGTACACACAAACACATACAAACATATATAATATTTATAACACATATTCATAACATATAATATTTATCATAGCCATGTTATTTTTTAGTTTGTGTGTATGTAGGTGTGTTTGTATATGTATGTGTGTGTATATGTGTGTGTGTGTGTATTAGAGAGAAAGAGATT